ATGATTTAATGTATTACGGTTGTGGGAATAATAAAAGTGCTTTTTATTTGTCGCGTTACAGATTCCCGGAAGGTTTGTAACACAGAGGATGAGCCATGCCTTCGAGCCCACAAAAGTATGTGAAATTGATAATAATAATCTAGGAGTACTCATCATGAAATGCTGGAAGATTTTGTTTTCTCGTTGCAGGTGCCTGGTGGTCTGTTTTACCACACACTCCCGATGCTGAGGAATCCTCGAGTTACGATAAGGCGATTGGCGATGGAAATGAGTTTCTGAAGTGTACAAATTGTTATCCCGCGTGTACAGACACTCACTATTATCTGCAAATGCAAGCAACTCCACTCGAGCGCGGAAATCGATATCATACTGAATTATTGTAATAATCGGTACTCCGGTTTTTCTCTCTGATGTACTAACGCATTTTTTTCTCCAGACCTCATTCCCAAACGAGAGATCAAAGCATTTTGCATATTTATTTCAAAAAATTTGGAAGTGTCCGACTGAAACAGGATATGGGTTACTACTGGTATGAGCTGATTAGTAAGTTAATTACTCCAGCATTTCATTGAAATAATTATTAAAACATCCAATTCGAATTGGGGAAATTAAATTCGGAGAATTCGTCTACAGTCACCTACCCCCACCACGCGCCTATATTCTTCAATCAAATTCACTACTAAATAGATGCAAATGTTAATTAACTCTCACAAAGAAAATTGACACCTACCTGTCACGGTGAAGAGTGACAGAATTTTTTAATGGCAAATATTTTTTCAGAATTCAATTCCTCACCGAACAAACCAAAGAATTATTTACATCTTGAAACCCGGGGATAGTAGAATGGGTAAACCGAAAGATTCGCGAAAAACAGAAATTGATGAGAGATGCCACTATAACGCGATTTGACTGTATAACGTATAACCATTACTCACGACTTTGATGGACATTTTATTATCTTCATCGATCTGTATTGACATTTATTATGATAGCTGGTTTGTAGGTTTGCTATCGAATACTCTCGTGCATTGTGGTCTCTACCGGGAATATCCGTGATTTTATGATAGTGAAACCGAGTGAGTTGAACGATGACAATTTCCGTAATTCGAGATAGTCGAGAATACTGCAGAATAACATGTGACTGCATTAACTTGTAGTAATCTGATTAGCGATGATTCAAACTGCCCATATAATTATAGCAACAATATGTATTCATTGTGGCCTTAATGTTACTATTGTTCATGGGTCTTTTCAATTGGCTAATGAATAATTAATTAATTAATTAATGTGGATCTTGTCTTTTAGGCGATATTGGCGGAACGTGTGGGGTTTTCGTCGGTTTCAGTCTTCTCAGTATTATTGAATTCCTGTACTTCATCTTGAGATGCGTCTTGGTCCCCCGGAGTCAGGGCGAGAGATTGAAGACACCGAAATCAAAAGATCAATTGAGAAGTAATGTTATGACTGTTGACGGTGGACTCTATTGGAATGAAATAATGAACCATCCTGAGATCTATTTCGCGGGGCGAAAGTCCCGAAAGCGAATAGGAAGATATTAAAATTTATTGAATCTTAAAATGTGGAGTTGTTTTTGGTTTACAATAATTTCCAATGGAATTCCCTCGATTGATTTAATTCGCCTGATGTGTGTAAAGTAGATAATTAATGGGATCATTAACGTATTTATTAGTGCGAACAGCAAACAACTTGAAAGTCCATTGATCGGAGTATCTCCGAAATACTTTCCACGTCAGCTGAATTTCAAACTGTTTAGGTCTAGCCTTCGCCCTCGGTCTCGGTATCTCTTCGGGGTTTGCGCACGAAACAACTTTGAATAGTAATCCTCGGCAGACTAAGGTTCAAAGTTTATACTTTGGATGAGCCTTGGGAGAGACCCAGCGCTGGAAGAACATGAAAGCATGGATTTACAGCTGGGATACTTGTCAAAATTTCAACGGCAGAACTTTCTAGTCAACTTGATCTCCTCTGGCTATCGTAACACTAATTTATAAATTCTCTTTAGCAGTTGAAAGATTTTCAACTGGTATCTTTATATCCACACAATAGTGAATGAAGAATGGATATGGAGAAAATGTAGAGTGTGAGTGTTACGTCTCGGCGGCAGGGCAGCTAGGTTTTCAAGAGATTTTCTTGGAAAACTTTGGTAAAATGAGGAGGATCGTGAGGCAACAGCAGACATGTCTGTGGTAGAAGCTTGCTATGTTGCCCCCGAGGAGACAAGTCGCTGTGGAAAGTCCGAGAGCGTTTGTCAGCGGCGCCTGAAAAAGCTTCTTGCTTTTCTCTCTAGCTATCTCGGTACTATACCCTCCCATTCTGTGCCACTCTATTCTCTTCATATCCTCATTCTTGACGAAAAACCAGAATATCAAGTGACACAGACTGGCCGACAAACTTTGGCCAAAAGTTTTACCAACAAGTCAAGTGTTTGTTCCACCACATTCATACTTTTCATTTGTTAGGAAAAAGAAAAGACCAGGGACATGTCAAAGGTCAAAGTCTATTTGAGGTACTTATATTCGAATCAGTTTATTCATCAGTATACAATTCAATTGCCTGTACAGTAGTTCAATAACACTTGTTCATTCTCGCATTCCAACAGTAATCATACATGTAACATTCCATCATCACATGCATTGCAATGATATAATTATATCGTTCAAAGCGATATTATAAACTTTCCCATTACAATAAATTCCTGGATGTATTTTCTTTTACATATAAACAACTATACAATGACATTATAAGTTGAAATATTCATAATAATAACGTATGCTCTCAGTTGGAGATTATGTTTTCACATAGTCGAGTGGAATGAAAAAATTTGATTGAATCTCATCGAGAATTAGAGTGGACTTGATGAAATGATTTCGTGAGATTGATGAGGGCCCATTTCTGTCGATGGAAGATAAAAAAAAAAAGATGGAAAGAAAGCGGGAATAGAAGTGAAGAAGTATGGGGTTGTCTTTTTCTCCCGCACACATGCCAAACGGAAAAGATGGAAAGAACATCACAAGCGATGGGGGAAGCATTTTCAAAGGCTTGGGGGAAAAGGATGAAAAAAAAGAGTACGCTGGAATCGCAATTTACGGAAGTAGAAGAACCGGGGATATCCGGACAAACGTGGACGAGTGATCGAGTGTGAGACACATGGTTTGTCGAGCGTATATTTGTAGCAGTAGATTGGACGTTATAAGCAGGGGCACAGTGTGTGGTAGTAGAGTATGTACGAAAAGACGGATTCTCCACGTTTTGCGTCCATGGAATTTTCGTTCGAATGCTTCAAGCAGTTTTTCCAACAGAAAATAAACGAATGCCGTAAATTACTCCTTTGCTGCTCACTGCAATCGATTTGACGATACAGAATTTTTCAATTGAATTTTTTTTTTTTTCATCCGCCAGTTGAAGTAGAACGACCTGTTGTAGAAAAAGAGAGAAAAAAAAATGGAAAAATCATTCCTGGGATGCAGTTGAATTACGAGTGTAATTGATGGATTATGATTGAGCTTTATTCCTATGAATTATATCCTCGGAGGATTTAATCGCAGAAAGTAATCGAGTTTAATTGGAAAGTACCGGACAGCTGGGGATTACACTTGAATTTAGAATAAGGAGAAATGTGATATGAGTATTTACAATTGATGGTTATCGGTTTATAAAATACCAATGAATTGACGTAATTTTATCTGACGATGGGTGAACGGGCGTTGGAAAATTCATGATTTTAATTTGATTAATGATTCACCTAGCGTTCAACACGAGGTCAAGTATTTTTTCTATTCAGATTAAGTGGTTCTCTCAGATTATCTTATAATTGTGAAGACAGATCTTGTTAATCAGGAATCATTGTGAAGACAGGGTCTGATGGCAATTGTATTAACAATGTATTCACTGAATAACGATCGAAGTTGTTGCATAGCATCTGAAAAAATTAATGATACAATCAACGCGGTGGATGTAACAGTTGGTACTTCTCGCCCCTAGAAAATTCACTCTCGTTTCGGTATTTTCAGTATGTAAATTGATTCTGACTGGTCAACGTCATTAAAATAGTAGTTAACACATTTACAAGAACAAAAGTTGAGAGCTCTCTAATTTGTGCCCATCAACTGTACAATTTAAATGACGAAAATTTTTCTTGGAAAACATTAAAAGCAGATCGTAACAGAATTTTCCCCCCTCACCGGGTGGTCCCGAATTGTAACAAAGTCAGTAGCAATGTACTCTCCTCTGGTATTTCCGTGTAATTCAAATAACTATGTGAATATCCACTTATCTTAGGGAAATAACAATAAGGAACAATGACATATTTACATATAAAAATATAATCTTGTTACGACTGATACTTATTGATAGATAAAATCGACGCAATATGTATGAATTCACTCAGCTCTTGTTTCTCATGTTTTATTTATTGTTGAGCCCTGACGCCCTTCTGTCTCTGATACGTTACCCTCGTGCAAACAAAATCCGACAATATTTTTGCCAACGCAGAGTTAATTCTCATTCATCGAATATACAATGGGAAATTGGAAAATGGAATACACAAGAGGCCATTGAGTTATTCCCCTGGAATATGAACTAATAATATGAATGTGAGGACTTTGAAGACTGTCAAGACTCATCAGTGAGAAAGGACTATGTGGTTAGCGTTAATCGTGAGAAGGTGGTTGGCAACGGGCTCTTCATGAATGCCAATCGACCAGTAACTCTGGACCATTAGCGTTACGTTACCATTGCTCTAATTAGGTCGAGCCGATTTTGCGCATCAAGATGAGGTGGGTTATATTCACTGGTACAAGACCACAACCCCAGAATGCCCTTTGCGTGTCTCATCCCGGGCCTTTTCACTCCATTCGCATTTTCCATTCAACCACTAACAATCCACCTTCATTACCAATCGCACCAGCATTTTTCTATTATTTTTTTTTATAATTCAAACCGGAAATAATCGTTGATTATTCCGTACTTACTAATCAGTCAATATATATTCATTAATTCAATTACCTATCTAAATTAGGAGGGGGTAATAATAATAAGCATTTGTTTCTCGTGTGAGAAAATTGTCAATATGGAGAGAGATAAATAAATAATATGAAGGAAAACCAATGGAGTGATTCATGATGGCTGAAGAAAATTCAAAGGCGGAAACGACTAGCTTCCGCTCATGAAATATGCCCCATCCGCTCGGGGAAAAAGCATATTGGTTATAAATTTTCGTGCCAGCTCGGCACCAACGATCTGCTTGCGCTCTTCCGTTTCTTCTCGTATGCGCTGTCTCAAGTTACATTTATGTACATGTATATGAATTACAGGATTCGCTTTGCGCCATTTTTTCACCTTCGATGTCGATCCTTATCCACAGCATTCCCCTCGGTACCACCAGAAAGCCGAAATTCCAGTTCGTCATTCATGTTTCTGCAAAAAATAAAATGAAAATTCAATATAAAAAAAAAATCCATTGCCTCACCGATTAAATCCACAAGTTCACTGACCCACCGGAGAATGCCCATTCGTCCCAAAAATTCAAATTGAATTAACCCAGAGGTATCCACGAACGTGCGGATAGAAAGTAATACCGAGCTTGTTTGCAAAAGCAAAACAAACAACTTGCAAACTGAGAAAAAACGAGAAAAGCAAGTGAAACTGTTGCATCGGTGAACCCCGAAAAAAAAAAGCCGGGGATATTGTATCCACGAGTAAAAACCGAACAAAAAAAAAACGATTACAATGGAAGATTGAAAGGATATGAATGGCGAGGGATAAACAATGAGAAGAGATACAGAACATGGTGCGAGGGCATTCAATTAATTCAAAGGAAGAATGCTGTTATATCTGGATGCGTCTAGGTGCGTTATCACATCGAAGCCCCTCGGGTCAATAATTATTTACAACGTGTAACTGTCAGTGTTAAAAAAAATGCGGATAAAGGTGTAGGTGAAAGGAGAAACGGAAGAGGGTAACAACGAAGGGATGAAGGGTGGTTGAGCACGCGGTCGGAAGGGGAATCTCATCAACTAGAACGCGGATCATGGATTTGGTCCGCGGAAACAAATGGAAACAACGTGGTAGCGCTTGGTTTTCCGTTGAACTATTGGCATTGCCTTTCCTGTTTGTTATCGTTTTCACGTGGTGCCCGTTATATATACTGATTCCCAGGATTTTAAGTGGGGGCGGCACAGAGAAGTGACAAAAAAAAATAATAAAAAAAGAGGTCATGGCGAGGATGCGGCAAAATGGGATGCGAGATATAGGAAGTAGAAAGCGACTGGGAAACGAAATGAAAATAAATATGCATTGCCGCATCGTAAAAATACAAAAGCCAATGTGTATAGATTGGTATTGGTGGGCGAACGAGTGGTGGCATAATAGATATTTAAATTCTGTGGTTCGGAAAATATCATGAACAGCGAGGGGAGAGAGAGTGCCAGAGACTCATCGGTTATCGATATTATTTTATCCCCCTTGATACCGGAAATAGAGGCTCTGTCGGTGAACCCTCGATGCACACTCAATCCTACATGTTCCAGTGTATGCCTTCTAGCCTTCTCGGATATGATGTTTATGGGGGTATTGTGTTCACTGGGTCTCATCCATTTTGGTTATTAAAATCACGACGGGGATATTCATTCGATGGCTATTGCGTGATTTTGACCGGTGAGATTGAAGGATTTTAATCCGGACTTTTCAATTAAATGACTTTCGATTCAATAAGTTGAGGAAGAATTTGAAAAAGAGAGGAAAAAACCCACCGACGCCTTCAACCATCATTTTAATCACTTGAACTGCATCCGGATTTCTGTGGGATGCAGCCACGTCTATCCGTCGATCTCTCGAAGGGGAAGGGGTTGGAGTCTCGTCCGAAGATTCACTGGCATTGATAATTTTTCAATTTTCACGTAATCCGATTGAATCCTTTATTCCAGTTACAGTGGCACATCGAATCCATCTTTTTTTTTCTTCTTTCGTACTTGATCTATACGAGAGTACGCGTTGAATACAGGGGGCAATATTCAGTTGGAAAATTCACAGACTCCTGTTATAACAGTGAATTTTTTGGATTGACAATATTTTTATCGATTTTGGGGATTTCCATTGTAATTCAACGACTTTTCCTGCTGAGTTGGGAATTAATGGCTTTTTTTAAATCCACAAAGCCATTTGATATTTGATATATACAATGAGGATAAAAAGGGGGCGGAAAAAAAGGGGCATGGGTGAGTGCGTTGAGGGTAACGTGCAATTCGTGGTTGCGGTTGGGTGGCGGAGTTTGGGACAGAAGTAGATATACAGATACCAGTGGTTTTCCATACCGGATTCGATTCATATATAGGGGAAACTCCAATACATTCGATTCGGTGATTCACGTGAACCGTTCATGAGCTCCACAATCTACAACGGTACGTGAAAAAAAAGGGACCTCCCCAGGCTGTACTTCCGGGAGTCAAATTATTCTTTCAGTTTCGCTTTTGTTTTGCCTGAAACATTTTTTTTTTCCAAACTCAATTTTTACATCTATTTTGTTGACGTTGGCACAAACATGTTCACCGAATTTGTTTGTGAATGCATAGAGGCCCATATCGATAACAAACCAACGTTAAACCTACCGTTAAACCTGTCATTGTTTTCAGTGAGAAGAAGTGATAAATTGTAAAAAAAAAAATGATAACTTTTTGCGTGGATCGGATTTTTGCAAATGGATGGTTCGCTGATTTTGTTGAATTCAGGTTTTCAATGTGTAAACATGTCTCGTTCATGTATCGGTGTGCATTCTCTATAATATTGCAATTTTGGAGAAGTAAACTCCATTTTACGATGAACACCGACAAATTTAATCAGTTTATTTCAATTGTAAATGTTTGATATTGGTTAATTGAACTGAAATAATCCCCCAATGCAGTCCCGGCTTTTTTATTTTCCGATATTTTACCGAAATAGTGAATATTGCATCTAACTAATTTTATGATTGCAGTCAGTCGGGTTGGGGGATTGAAAAAAAAAATTTGCATGTCATTTTTAATTCATAAATTCGTTAAACAGGATGAAATGTTTTTTTCATTTCCACACTGCTGGTTTATTTGGAAAGGGAAGAAAGAGGTAATGGTGGCAATGGTGGCAATGGCGGTGCATGCGGATATAATGAAATAATGAAAAACTGCTCGCAAAAACAATAGGTTTAATCAATACCAGGGGCGTTATGTAGCGTTATTGAACGGCGATTCATTGGCATGTTTTGTGAGCCTCTGGAAAGCCCGAGTATCTCTCTGTGTACGTGTGCTTTGTCGAGAAACATAACAGTTTTTGAGAATATATTTGGATGCCTTCCAAATTACGTAAAGCGCGTTCGATTCTCTCGTTTAGTCCGGGGGTTCGATAGTTTTCGCAAACCACAGCATTTACGTATTCCTTCAGCTTCCCATTCTCATTGGCATCGACCAAACACCAGGCACGTCATTATTATTGGCTATTAGTTCCACTCATAATATTCGTGAACATTCAAGGATCACAAAGACAAAGTGGTAAAATTATTCATGCATTAATAATTCATGTTGGAAAAGCAATATTTTCCTCGTCAATAAAGACTCTGAATATAATATCAGATCAAACTAGATCAATCGAAATTCCCAAAGTATATAATATTCTGCGACGTTTAAATATGGAATGAATTTTTTTGGGTACACGAATGAACAGCTTCACAGAATATAATTCATTCCAGTGTAATCATCATGCGAAATTTTATTTCCATTCAGTTTTTTCGTTACTCCGGATAATAATCCTTCACTCAAATGTGTATTCATTGGAATTATTGTGGCTCAATTGCCCACGATGTGTTTTCAATTTTATGGAACAATAATGGAAACCATTCAACGTAAACATTTTCGTTTAATAGTAAAACGATTTCACCTGAAAATCGAATAGATTTCTTGATAAAAATACACGAGGCAAAGGTGTTGAAAAAATTGATTGTCAATTGAGCTCTTTTTTATATCCATGTCGACAGTTTCACAGCAGTAATTCTCGATATTTTCCGACAAGCTGGGAATCAGTCCAGAAATAAATGGTTGAAAAACGGAAAAAATGAAAAAAAAAATGCTCACTATAGAGATAATAAAAAATATAAAAAAATTATAACAATGAGAGAAAAAATGGAGTTTCATTTTTCCACCCATGATGACATGTCCTCAGCACTCGTTAGTGCATGGAAATTCTGCACGAGTGCACCGATGACAAGTGCTTCATTCATTACCAAGTGGTGCAATTGAAAAAAAAAAAACAGTCTATTAGTAGACTACGATATTTTTTTTCCACATCCCCAAGCACACTTCTCTATCAGAGATATTGATTTCCTGATTGGGGACCCGTAGCGTCAATTATTCGATTCCAAAAGCTCACGTGTTCCTCTGTCTCTATAAAAGTGGGAGGTACGTTGAGAAAAAAAAAATATAAAGCATAAAATAATTGAATGTCGCTCGTACCTCCACTTTTATTGCAGCGTAAAGTGCCACGCCTCCATCTAGTCCGCTCCAGGGGTGAAATTGGTGGATAACTTATATCAAGAGCTGAGGAAAAAACAACCAGATGAAGAAAACGAGGTGAGAAAGATGAAGAAATATACTGGAGAGACCGAAATATATAGAGTGGTGAAAGAACAAGTGTGTGGTACCGTCGCAGTGACGGCTGCTGGCATTCCAGTTGATTTCCCACGTCGTGAATCAGCGGCTGAAGGTGTCCGGATAATGGTGGTATGAGAGCAGAATGGAGTTGAGAATTAATCCGTCGGGAGAGAAAAGGTGGCGAGAGGGAGAACGATAATAAGGCAAAGAGATATGAGGAAAGAATTGTAGAAATCTTGAAAATCTCGTCAATTCTTCATCTACTCTACGATAGGATTTCCTGCCGAGGCTTATTTAAAATTCCCATACTCAAGTTGTCTGGGAGTTTGAGAAAATCCTCGGCTCACGCTCCACAAAATTCTCGTGTTCCGATCACGTTTTTTACGATTCGTCCCTCTTTCCCCCTTTTTCATCCTGCCAGCTCGACTCTTTATCGGTTGCTTCAGTAACCCACATTTTTCCCTCCTTTTCCCAGTGATTTCGTGTTTTCTCTTTTTATTTTTATTCTCTTTTTCAACATTCCACTCGTTGTCATTGGATGAAGAGGAGATTTCGTTATCGAATCCCCGCAGTGGGCACGCATTCCACCATGACACACATCTATCAGCTTTTAGCGTGCTATTACGGGCTTTTAGGCGTATAGAGTTTGACGAGCCAGAAAATCGACTATACGAACGAGTTTAACGCGTGTCAGATGTCCACATGAGCGTTGATCTCTCGACATTCATTGAAATGTCAGGTAACACGTGAGATTGGGCGTGATGTGGTACAACACATAGCAGATGCATAAGAAAGCTGGATTTCCCAAGGTAGTGGTCATAATAAAATATTACCGATTGAATTTGAGAAGGTAATTTGAATAGAGGTGTACAGAGGGGTTGAGTGAAGCTAGAGGCTGTACCGTCGATTTTGTCGGATGAGCAATGAACGGATACGCCGTCACAGAGTGTGATCACCATGGAGAGAGGATCGTAGAGCATTCTCGACGTGCACGTTGTGATCTATGACATTTGATAATGAAAGCTCGGCAATGGTCTGGCTAGGTCGTAGCACAACCGAATGATACCAGCCAAACTGCCAACTGACGTTCGCCCCTCGTTCGAGGGATCTATATAAACTATAGTTTCCGTGAGCGTTGTCATACGTTACAAGGGTACACGGGAGGGGGGGGGCACAGGTGGATGGGATGGGACAAGGTTTTGGTGGTATAAATTATCTTTGGAAATAGACTGTGACCGGGATCTCGGTGATAAGCACCCACCGGATTTAGCTCTCTGTCATTCTGTGTTTTGTCAGAGGCATAAAGAAGTGGGACGGTCTTGTCGAGTGTGTGATAACACATGTGTCGATGAAAGTGATGCTCTAGTATCTGTAGTCCATCGCCCATTGCCCGTTGCCCATCGTCCATTGCCCGTTGCTCGTTGCTCGTTCCACGTTGCCCGTTCCCTTGACAATACCAGAGACCCGCATGTCTCTTCAATACATTTCATAAATTTTTTATGTGGCAAGATTTGTGTTTTTCAACAACAGCCATCTACGGAGCTCAACGAAATGTCATTGGGCGAATTAATTGGCACGTGCGGGATATTACGGAGGTGAAAAAGTCGGTGGAAGTTAACGGGATTATCGAGGGATACGGGCAATGCCGTGCGGTTGAGGTTTTTACACCCATAACTTGCCATTATCTCCATATTTTCTTTTCTCTATATTTTTTTTTTCTTTCTCAGACGACTTTTTTCTTTTACAACAAACGTTTCGCGTTAACCCGGAAACTTTATGCAAGCTTCTTATAAGTCGATGAGCACCAGAGTGCTCGTCTCCAAACTCATCCGAAACTGAGATTAGAAGATCAAATGAAAAAGACAAAAAAGATATTCTTGCTGGTAACTCTGTGGAGTTATGTCCCCTCGAAATTATCACAACAATTTGAAATGGTCTTTTAAACGTATATGTTATTACCAGAAAATACTCACCTTAGCATTGTCATCTGAAAAATCCGTAACTCACAGTTAAGTGAATTAACCAGAGATTGAGTACAGCACTGGAAACACCGCTGCCATGATGTACAGCAGCCGGAAGTTCTCCTGAGGAAGAAAAAGAATTGATAAATTACGGAATTGTCACACCATCCAGGTTTGATGTAGCATGAATTTTATCCGTTATTTGGCAGTACATGGCAGTGATATTTTCAAGTGGTCGTATCTCTTTGTCCGATCAATTTAGCAAATTGATCACGTCGTGGAAAATATCCGGACAAGGGAATGGTGATACACCAGTGTCGAACAATAGTGGAAGGGGATTGCCATTGGTTCCGCCGGAAACTTTTGCCAGGGCGACACTTGGCTCCTTCTTCCTCCATCTTTCCTTTTTGGTTTTGCCGTAGAGTGAGAGAATTGGGATGCATATATTTGAATCAGTACAAACTTGTGACAGATAAAGAAAACAAAAATGAAAATGAGAAAAGTACAGTTTGTGTACTTGTCGTTATTTATCGTTTCATGTTTTTTCACTCGACTGCACTCCAAAAGGAATGCCCGCAGTATTATCATTCTTCTGTTTATATCCACTTTTTCAACGTTGACAATGACATTTTCCGTTTTCTATCGTCCTCTAGAATAACAGTATTTGAGAACAATTTGTGCATTATCGAATGACAGATTGAAATAATTCACACTGAATAGTCACAAGTATTTGAAAATCAACGTTTTTTTTCTAGCGCAGCTATTCGTATTGCTGAGAAGAATCCAATAATTATGTCGACAGTGAAGATGGAGTGGAATGCCTCAATCTGGTGTGATTCACTCAAGGTTCTATTTTTATTTTGAGGCAATGAAAAATATCAGGATTCCACAATCCCTAGACCCACTATCCATCCTCTTCACCGTCATATCGTACCTTCCTCCGGCCCCTTGCCATGGCTTTAGCCTGTGCTTCTTCTAATCCAGACATTCGTTTCACGTTCCCGTCGGCTTTCCACGCTTGGCTCCAGAGCATACCGTGGGGAAAGCATTTTTCAATGAAATACCACCCCAAGAAAACCTGTTCACTTATACTCCACCTTTTTCCCCTATAATTCTTTTTCCACAGATTTTTACTTTTTTTTCTCATTCACTCCGAGGTTACCACTTGCCCGCCAGAGCCGATTTGAAGGACGTGCCAGTGTGAAATCGAGCCGATCTTTTGCACTTCATCGCATTTGATTTATATCCCTTGGGCTTCAAATCCCTTTACTCAATATTTTTATCTCTCATTGAATTCTCGTAATTTTACACCGCGAGTTCAATTTTCCTACTAAAATTTCAGTAGTTTAGAGAATAACTTAACTTAATCAACCGACTAAACGACCAGTCCACATTCCAAGAGGGTTACACAAATATATATATTTAGTTATAAAGAGTGTAAAAAAATATGACATCGTTGGAGCCGCTGAGAACGTGAGAAATCTCTGAAGCCTCGGCATTGACCCTGTCGTTTTGTTTTCGTTACATTCCCGTAATCCGTAAAGTGAATGAATACTCTTTTTTAGGATACAATTTCCCATGGGTAAGTCAAGAAACGTGCCCCTTAATTCACGCTGGAGGATATACTGGCTGGAAGGGCCAGTTAACCCGACCTAGACTAGAGAAGGTAGGAAAAGTTAGAGTAGTTGGTACGTTGACACAAGAAACGTGATCCTATAATTTCTCATTCTGGGGGCTGTTCGTAGTGGTACTAGAATCCTTTTTCCTTTCTCTCATCCAACACGAGTACTAGTCGGAATAGTAACGTAGGGCCGAGAGGTAGAGCATGAAGATAGAAAGGACACGGTTTAACGGTAGACGAACCAATTAGAATACTGGCTCCCAATTTTCTCACAGAAGTAAGCTATCTTATAGAATGGTGGAATGAAAGTTGAGTAACAAAATGGTGAAATCGTTAGAGTAATCTCCCCCGAAATTCGGAATTCTTTCTCATATTTCACATCTGCGTCGGGAAGACTTTCCCTTAGGATTTTCTTTTACTCCACTCCGCTCCTTCTACTTTTTACTCATGTCAATCTATTTATCTCTTTCACTCTCCCTCCTTTTTTTTCTGCAAACCAACAACTCGGCTGATTTTATTCCAGCCACTCTCCAACTTATCTCTCCGGTCTTCTCCTTATACCCAGAAGCAGATCGAATTACGAAGATTTTACTTCTTTCGTAATTGCAACGCTGAGAAGAGAGCGTTGAATGGGCATCCCTTTCCAGATGCTGCAGATATGCAGATTCAGTTATAGATATGTTGTGCTTTTCTGCATGCACCGAAGCCCCCGGTAGTTTTCCAAATTTCAATGAAATTTAATTGGACAACGCACTTATTCTTCCCACGAGAGAGTACTCACGTCTGAAATTTGTACAGAGGAAATGTTTTTCAAAAGAATCCACTCCAGGTTACCACTACCAATTTACTTCAAGCAGAAAAAAAAAATCAGTAAATAAAGACATGAATGGGACACGCGTGCATCAATAGTTTGACTTTGCTGACAGCCGCTCGTTCCCTCGTATTAGCTCCTTGCGACACAACAACATTGCAGATGATAAGTTGACATGAACTGTCTGAGTTATGCCATGAGGCATCTCAGCAGAGCTGTCATCAGCTGCACGTGGTGCGTCCTATGCAATGAAGAAGATAGAAAGAGACTTTTCGTTGGATAGAGACTGTTGTTCGATATTAAAACTTTGAGTAGCAAACTTGAGGTAGTAATGCATCAAATTTTGATGGATGTCAAGGGTATCTTTGTGGTATCATATATCGGATTCAATGGTTTGTCTCACTGTAATCGTACCTCATCGTATACACATGGCTCATCCAACCGGAAGATTACTGCGCTGGGTTTTGTTTGTGTACACGGAAGGTGTTTATACTAGTAGATCATTGTTTCCTTACCGTTCAAAACGTGAACAGCTATGGTGGTCTTGGCTCTTTCCGGTACGATGCAGCTGTAGTTGCCAGTATGTCTTGGTGATGCTTTCTCAACTACAAGTATACTTGATATCACTGGAATCTCCTTGTTGCCCACTAGTTCACTCGTTCTATTTTCGCTGAAAGCAATGTATTCTAAGCTTGATCAATTGTAAATTCACCTAGCAATTGAGAATATCAATTACTCAATTCGTGGAGAATGGTGATTTAAATGGAATACGAGGGAAGATATTGAAATAGATTTAATCGGATATTTTTTAAATAGACATTCCTAAACTGCCACGAATTTCCATATCTTGATTCCGTAAAAGCGTTTGGATTTTATAGGAAACTGCATATTCGATTTTTTTCGGGGATAAATTTTAAGATAGGATTACACCAGTCAAATCGAATGATTGTACGAGTGCTTGTAAAAGTATTTTAGGAAGAAGAAGAGAGTAATAAAAATGTAGATGTGTGTTATAAGAAAAAGGCAATTCACTTGAGACCAACCTGACGTCTGTAGTGAGAATTTCATCTCCCCTTGTCCATAGTAAAGATTCGTTGAGTCTCTCTAGTACATCTCTACCCTCACACCTTAGCCTGAGGGTACTACCCGCCTTTAGGTGTCTCTCCCCTGATATCATTCGCCCAGAATCGTCCGTTATATTCAGAGTGGGAGCTATGGGTATAAAGCAAGATTCATATAAATATGACGTGTGAAATTCTTATTATAGCTTCCAAAGAGGATTATGAATAAAAAATGGATGATAGATGAGTCTGATCATTAGATGATGGTGTAATTTTCATCATCAGCAATTCAATGCAAAGTGATGTTTCTCCATTATCCTGAATGATAAGTAAATTGAGTGAATACATAGATCTGTAGGTTTCAACCAATTTAATGCTTTCATCCTTCAGATCCTGTTAAATCGCCAGTAGCATCCACGATAAACTCGTTCGTTCGTGCGTGAAGGGGAAAAGAAAAAACGGTGAAATTGGTGGAATTTTTCTCTCCTCACCGTTGTTGGAATATCACGATTCGTCTGGTGTTGCTGGAGATGATTCTTCTCATTGGGAAACCACCATTAGGATTCAGCTCGACTTGCCAGCTGCTATTCTTGAGACGACCGCTATGCAAATTTCATGACATAGCGGTATGCTCTTATTCTTTGCTCTCCTGAGCTTTTGGTACATCTCTCAGCCTTTTTCTTTCTTTTCTGTATCTCTCTTTTACTCGCACCTCTTTCTTTCCGCTCTTTCTTTCCGGTTTTCGACTATGTACAAGAGACAATGTCACCGAGACTGAACAGTCCAGCGGCTGTTTTTACTTTACCTCCAGAGCGTTTCGCTTGGTTGAAAAAAAAAAAAAACAATGACAAAAAAGTCGATGGGAGTCTTGTTTTCTCTTCTTTGCTTCATTTTCCTTCTGCATGTTTTACCCTTTTTACACGTCCGGAGTTCATTCTGTTTTGGAAGCTCTTCTTTTTCTTTCATCCTACTTTTCTCCTTTAATACTCGAATTGCGTTCCTCATAAGGTATTTCCGCAGGTTATTCTCTTGGCGGTGGATTTCTTTCACCAGATGAATGAAAAGAGAGAGCAGTGACGGATGTGGATAATTAATGTTTGTGAGAAATGTGAGAAGGGTTTTTCGGTTAATCCTCAGAGTCTAACTGGATGTTCTTGTTTTCTGTATAGAGAGGTCTGAGAGATGAATGGTCTCGAGCAGATTGGACTTGTCGATCTGTCATGGCTTGTAATTGCCAACGCATATTCGATGCATCAAACCGTTATGTGGCAATCGATCAAGAACTTCACCACTCTAATCAACGGGGCTATTGCTCTTGGGAAAAATGACTAGTTAATTCTGAATCTTTCGTTCGTGACTTTGAGTTCTATCGATATCCAGATTATTTCTCACGGTAGAGGAAGAAAAAATCGGGGCAATCAGGCGGAATGTAATCACAGAAGAAGAAGAAAGAGGAGGAAAATAATTTCCATCACGTTGAGATCATAATTTCCGGGTTTCCCATATTCCAACGGCGTCTACTGCTGCTAACGCGGTAACCTTTCTGCTCTGGTTAAATTAATGATTTCCAATTTATCCGAGTACTCCACTATGACTCAAAAAGCTATCAAGCTTCAAAAGTATTCACATACAGGTATCGCTGTGGTTATAAAATTTTTTATTTACAAATTCCCTTGTGGCATGTTCTACCCAATGAAATGGAATGATTTGTTGCTAGCCAATTGTCTTTCATATTCCCGAACTCCGCCAGAATTATCAATAAAGTTATATCTGGGAATTTCGTCTATCTGTACAATTGAATTTTCTTCTTTAGTTGGAAGTATATTTAAGGTCTAGCCGACGGAGGAGCTTTCGAGACAAAAGAAAATTTGATAAAATCGGTAACTTCATATTGAATACAATACATTGGTTTTTCAAACTTTTTCATTTGTTACCTTGATTCACTGAAGAAAACTCGAGTCATCCGGGTAGAAAGTTCTTCTCTTCGTCACTTGGTCGTCATACACGCTGAAAGCATTTCATGTAGATACGAATTGTTGTACGAAGTCTCGTAGAAGCCGTCGATCCATCAACAAAACTTTCCACCATCTTCTACTTTTTTTTTTTGCAATCCTCCTAGGAGCTTTTCCCACTTATACGACCCATACTCGGATTTACCCTCAGCAACTAGCTCCCACACCATACAAACTAGATATATATAGTTACGTCTTAGCTATACACAGCAAGTTGTCGACTAACCCTGTTCAAACTTGGTTTTGGCAAGTTCTTCATTTCGATGAATTGGTTGTCTGTGGTGTGTTGCATCTCCTTCAAGATAATAATGCTCTTTGATCACAAGCCGTGCATTCTTCCTAGTGAATTCTTCGTCTTACCCACTTCCATCCATTCCCCCCCTCAAGATCTGCCTCGATTTCTCTTCTACTTCTATGATATTTAAACCCTTGAAAGACTCACCCTCCACAACTTCTTACTCTCAGCTGCAGGGTCGCAGTTGATCTGCGAAAAGCCAATCCTTCTATTTCTTCTGTCGTTTCCTTAACACTTTTTGTTCTCCTAGGATTCGGCTGAGAGTACGATGACCTCTTCTACGTGGTAGACGACAGCTGAATCGAAGTTAGCAAAGCCATCTGTGAATCCTCGAAAGATCAGCTGAACCAGCTAATATCCACTGGCCATTGGCTGACCATATGGCTGACTTGTTCACGTGAAACGCACGAGACTTTGTACTGCGTGATTGCCATTAATTAATTTACTCAGGTGCGAGTGGTATTCGAGCTTGAAGATCGTCCTGTCCTCAATCACAAGTAGTGGGGAGGGGCAAGGGTTTGCTTCAGCTATCCAAATACATATATACCACGTAAAATGTCTCCTCCACTTTTCCTCTTCAAGTTTTACCGCCTTTGGCTAGTGTTCTGTATACTCTCACTCTTCATTGCCACCTCTTAGCCAACAACTAGTCTGTTTATCCGGGCTCTCTAATAAGTCGTTCATCCTCCAGTTGGCCTTGATAAATAAAGGGACAAAGTGGGCAACTCTTCGTGCTGGAAGTACTGAATTGCCCTGTGGTCTTTATGGGAATATAGCGGAGAAAATGGTGGAACGAGGGGATAGAGAAAAATGTTCAATCTCAAACTAATTTGAAGTTCGGCTGAATAAATAGAGAAAAGAGAGGCTAAATAAAAGCCACTGAGAGGGTGAGTTTTTATTAAATCCATTTTACCCTTCAATCATTCAAGCTCTGTCCATTGTTGAATCTATCGAATTAATTTTTTTTTCTTGAATAATTCTTCCAAGTACTCTTTTATTCTCTCCCCCGCAAGTTCAACCAGGTGCAAGCCACGCCGGCAATGGAATCTTTCCACCAAAGAATTTCATTAACTTATCAGTTGAAAGTTGCATCAAATTATTTTAAAGAAAATAATTCAATCGACATTCCTCGCCATTTTTATCGCCATTTATTTTTATGAGAAGCAAACATTTTCGTCGATGTCATACGAAGGATAGTTGATAGTTAATTGAAAAATTGAGAGTTGGCTAAATACTGGGTCATCTACCAGTGCCCTGGGGTTTTTTTTCAAATTCTAGTTGGACAACTCGATGAAACTCTTCATATGTTCCCGATGAAACCTACATCTGAAAGAGTAATTCACTTGAATGTACTCATCCTGAATGCCCTTCTCTCGTCTAACGAACTCAAACTGGTGTACCGAGTGTGGCTTTCCGAAGGTATATCCTCGAGTCATCTCTCCCAGTTCATCCTAATTTCTGAGTACGTCGAGAATCGAGAGTCCTCTCAACTCGCGCTCGCCGATGCTTACATCGGAGAAATTCACTCGTATCTTCTGCGATGCACGTACAGGCATGTACCACTTGGCCATATCTAGACTCGAACACTCACCGGTGGATCACGTTCGTGGGCGGTTATATTTTGGGTGGGTAAGGAGGAGCTGGGGTAAGGAATAGATGTGCCGAACGTCAGGGACAACTTATACGTGCTCAAACTGTAATTTGCTTTGTAGTTGCCATTGAGTCCTGTCAAACTTCTAACTATGGCATCAGTAGGTGCTTTCTGTATATATTTCACAGAGACTATCATTGTCACTGTGTCATTATTGCCTTGGAGATATTCTCCAATCTCCATCTTCACCATTGAGAATTAAAATCAATCGACATGTGACTCATATTTTATGGACATGTGTCCCTGACATTTTTATTACTTGATTCATAAGGGAATGAGATGAGAATGGATTGTCAACTCATTCGAAATTATCTTGGTTTCGATAAAAATAGGGTCGATGGAAGATTTAGTAATCTCATATTAGAGGCAGGAGTGCAAACGTAAATTTAATGATAAGCATGATGGGTTACCTGTTACCAGAACGTGGTATGTTTTAACCATGAAGTTGGTGGGATCGATTTCCACCTGACATTTGTATATTCCGGTGTCTCGAAGGGTTGCATAAGCGATTTGGAGCCTCCAATTGTCGGGATATCTTGAAAGAAACAAATCAGGTGATTGTACGTGATTCACAGTTTCATAAAGTTGGTGACGCGGTTGGAAACTCTGGGAGTTGTATAAATATTCCCCAGTGATTTGAAGCACTGGTTTGAATCACTTGAAAGATAAATCCCTCAGCTCATTTCTCGACACTCTGTGCTATTTTTACATCGCGAATAATTCCCCTTTCTCTTTAAATTCCTCTTGAAGTGAATCATGAGATATTCGCTTGTTCCATAAGCGGACAAGATTGACAAACGTTTAAAAATAAATCTATTTGTACTTCTTCAGTCTTCGCGTTAATATCAAATCCTCTGAATACTCATAAAATATTTACAGAAATTGGCAGGCTTTGATTGTTAATATCGACAGATGTTGTTTTCGCTTTTCCGAATAATATCGCTTCCTCGAAAGATATCCTGTCCAACTGGCCATACGCTAGATTAACGTTTCCTTTTTGTATCCGTCTTTTTTTTTAATTCCGGAACTGATGGATAGAAAAATAAATAACTTACTGGAATTTGAGGCTAATCCGTTCGTCCGCGCTGTACTGGCCATTTCCAACTGTGAGGAGTCGGATGGAGTCCTTATTGGGTTGAAACCAGGTCACCTGTGAAGATGAAAAAAAAAACAAATATGAAAGTCATATCGAATGAGGATTTGCAATTGAATCAAATTCTAAATGGACGTTCGGCTCGCTACACCGTGTGTCAAGTGTCAATTCTCATCACTCATGTTCATGGACTTTAGGAATTTGTTGTTCGTACAATTCGTTTGCCATGCGAGATATGGGAATTATTAAATCAGTACAGCTAATGGCGTATTAAAATGCAGCTACCGGTTTACCTCAATATTGACTCAGATCGTTTGATGATGTACACATAACGGCCTGGACAATTTAATTGGCCATCGAAAGCCATATAGGCAAATACCGTAGAAATTTTACGGGAAAATTTCCCATCAGTTACGATGAGAGAGGGGAATGGCTAATTGGCTGACGAGAGAGCTTCAGTGAATTTCTCAAGCAATCTACCCGGTGAAAAATTTTTGAAAAAGGCACTCACGTTCTTATGCTTTTTTTTTTCTCATCAAAGAAAATAGGGGATTGAACTGGGAAGGCTTCAGGGATAGTGGCAGGATGTCGATATATATATACAAGCCTTCTAGGACATCCTACCTCATGCCACTAGAAATACTTGTTTTCATTTCCCAGTCTCGGATCTCACATCCTTCTTCCATCAGTTTCACATTTCGTATTCTAGGGAATACGAATCTCGCGGGAATTTAAAACGTCTGATACGTGCACACCACCCTGGGTATCGCCCTTCTTACGGGTGTCTAGAACCAACTGAGAGAAAAAAATACTGGCACGAGTTGGATCTCAACTCTGTTAAAGAAACGTTCTCGGTAGAATCGAATGGAGAATGAGGCGCAAAAACACCTCTGCGAGTGTAAAAACACAAGAACGTGATCCTACCGATTTAAAAAAGCCCAAACAAGTGCATCCCGCTTTGTAATTCGTTAAATACTATTCTGTACTTTCAATATTCCGTCGAAGAGGCTCACGGGTCAAAGAATAATAACTTCATTTGAATTATGAAAACTCGTGGAACTGAACTTTGAAAATTTTATTTGTGGAGTGCAAGAGCGGTGAACAGGGGGGAGGTTGTTTAAATAATCACATAAACTGCAATGCAATTAGCAAGTTGTTCGAAGATATTGAAGTTACTTTATTAATGGAGAGACAATACAACAAGACGATAGTACATGGAAAAGTGAGTTTAATAATTAACGAGAGAGAAGTTGAATTCAACTTCTGAAATCTAAAACAGAAAAGAATGAGGATCGCAATTGATGAAATATGTAGAGGTAAATAATATAGAGAAAATATAATGGTAGGTAAATACCTTTTTGTCTCCGAGGAGTCCAATTCTGCAGTCAAGCTGAACAATGCTACCGATTCTTTCAGTGATATTACGATGATCCACCTCATCCACGAAGAAAGGTCCGAATTTCCCAAAGGAGCTTGGTACACTTGGCAGTTTAAATCCCAAAAAATGGTGTTTTGTTGTCCACATTGGTGGGATATAGGTGCTGGTGGCCTCATTGTCAGCCCCCATGGCTGTATTGAGCGAGGGTTTGATCTCATAGAATACCTTATTTGGCTGACTCTCAAGAAGATTAATGGATGCCTTGGAGTGGTCCTTTCTCGAATAACTTCTACTGTCAACTGCGCTTCCATCCCATGATTTTTCTTTGCGGTTTGCTGGGGTAAACTTGCCATCCTGTGCATTGCTCTGAGTTGAAACGTTCAACGGTGATTCTAGGGTGCCCTCGGTTGAATCAATGACATTTGGAGGAGGAAATGAATTATCGACAGAGGATTCTGTCGTATTGGTCTGATACACCAGCTTTTCACTTCTTACTTGAGATATTATAGATGTTATTGATACTAATATCGAGCTATTTGACGAGTAGAGATTTCCCATACCATCATTATCACTTTCTGTTGTCGTATCGGTGTGGCTTCCAGATGTGTCTGTATCACTATTTGATGTCTCATACGACTCGGTTGATGTTGAAAGAGCTTTCTCTTCGTCTAGTGGTAAAAGTGTATCCTTGGCAAACGGCAATTCATCCTCCTCCAATTGATTTGAGAATAGTCTGTGACCCTCTGTCATCCCGACAATGTCCTCCTTGAAAGTTCTCTTGTCACGAGATTTTTTGTAAACCTCCCTCTTGCTCAATCCAATGTCAGGTGAGATGATTGGAATTTCTAGCGACTCTAGTTTCATTTTTACGAATAGTTTCTCGTTTTTTTTTAATTTTCGGGACGTTCTTTCACTCGGGCTGTTTGTATATTTCCACTGGTAAATGGAAAGTCTCTCAGGTTTATGTGTGGTAGCACGATCACCTTCTATTTGGTCGATGGTCCTCCAGTTACCGCCATTCACGACGACTTCGATTGTATGTTTTCCAGAGCATCGTGTACCCGAGGAAGATGAGGTGACACTCTTATTCGCTCGATGATGAATGTTTTCAAATGTACTACTGCTTCTACTCTCCGTCTCTGTAATGGCGAGGAGAATAAAAAATGATCCATGAAAATCTACTTGTCTTGGAAATAGCTTTTTAGTCCACGAATCGAAGAATTTATCAGTACAACAAATAGATTTTTTTTTTACAATTCCCTATGTACAGCGTAACTTGAGAAAAATCCATTCTAGTAAATTTGACATTTCGCTCTAAACTATTCCATGTTACAGTGAATTTTGAAGTTTCAATTTTAACTCAACATCTCTACGTGAAATTGTCTCATTCCCTATGGAAATTCGATTTTGTTCCGGAATATTTATGTCTGCCTGACTGGTTTCGATAAATTATATTAAAATTTGAACTCTGAAGATTGAAAGACAGATTTTGAGGCGGTACTTTCCAGTGGAAATTCAACATACGAATGCATGCTCCAGCGTGCTAAATCTCAAAAGAGGGATGGGGTCAGGATATTTCCAAGTGCGTGCTTCAAAGAGAAATCACACATCTGGAAAAGCAATCCATGAATGTGTCAGCAGAATTCATACGAGTGGAGGAATGTACGAGTTCTTTCATAGTATTTGCTCTAGCATGGCAAGTTGTAGCGCAAGTAATAGACACTTCGTTAGTCTCATCTCCGTCGAAGGTTCGTCCCCTCGTTTTCTCGTTGAGACCGTCATGCATGATTTTTTGAAATCCACCTGATCTCTTTCTCAGAGGATTCCATTCACGGCAATAGAATACCATAAAAAGAAATACAAAGTGTACAGGGGATTGAAGTTAGCACTAGAATAAAAGCGATGCAATACAGACGGTAGCATTCAACCGAAGAGAGAGAGATGAACTCGTGAATTTGTTTGTCCTGGAGTCCCTGATATTGCCAGCAGTTTATGCTATAGCTATCATGACGCTTGCGAGGGAATTGTCACTGGGTGGAAAGCAATTTCGTCAGAGTGAAACGCGCAATGAGTATAGATATTTTCCTCGTTCTTCCCATTTAACGGGGAATGAGAAATGATCGATTGCGCATGCACCAACCCCCACCCCCGCTATTTAAATGCAGCATTCTATATGTTAATGTTTATTTTAAATTTTTAAGCCAAAGAATTTTTCCCCTTTAAACGGCATCGCGTAGTTAAATATCCACGGCTATTCCAACAGACGGCATTTTCTACACTTCTCTCTTTTACTTCTGCATTCCATCTCAGTCATTCTGTTATATTCTGTTTTATTTTGTTTTTTTTTTTTTTTCAATTAACTGAATAATTACCCGATATTGCCATTATGAAAATGGCCCCGAAGACGGCTATAACAGCCAGTGCAGACCAACTCAGCTGCGGCATTTCAGTTAATTAGTTATCCCTCTACTCAGCCCTCCGGTACATCCGCCATGTTTCCCGTGATTTTTTTTCAGTCTTACCCCTGGAAACATCAAAGTCAATATTCAGAGTATTAGCATTTGATCAAGTGAACGTTGTTAAGCTTAACGGGCACTGATATGATTAATTAAAATAACTTGGGGTAATATTTGCCTCAAGGAAACATTCGAAGAGAAGCCATTTGATCCAACGACTGCTATCTCTGTACTCCCAAGTACTTATACGTGTATGCAATTCACCGTGCTATATTAATTAACACGGCCAGACGTCGGTAGATTGCATACAGAGTCATGCCTAGCATGCAATACCACTGGAGTACAACTGTATTCCGTTATGACCAACTTTACCAAAAGGAGAATTTAAAAAATTATTGCTGTGCACACCCGATATCATTGTGCCCTCTTTATCAATTTTTTTTTATCCCCCTCAGCTTTCTCGTTATCGGTGAATCTTCTATTTATGCAAATTTATTTCTTGAATATTTATACAATGGGGATCCGATTCATCTGAAAATAATGACGAAATTCAGATGAATCAGAGGAAAATGGGAAATACTTGTGATCCGTGACTCATTTATTGGAACTGTTTTGAATGCTTTCATATGATTTCCCGGGGGAGTGTGACGCTGCACTTTGAGAGGTGTTATCAAATAAATGTACCGAGTACAAAGTTCATTGGGGGAACGTCAATAGTCTTCCAACTAATTTTCTTGAAACACGTGGCGACAATTCTGAGGGAATGAAAAGCATTCTTATCCATTCAACCGATGCCTTGGGTATAACTTCTGTTGGAAATTCAAGTGGAAGTATAAATGGTGTGAATGGAGATGCGAATACAGTTTTCATCGTACGAATTATCTTTATCTATAGTTTTAGTGTTGAAAGTGGTTTCTCTAACTTAGTCGCAAGCATTTACGTTGTGGATACATCATTTCATTAGGAGAGTTTCTCGGGTAATTCTTGTGGAAATGCAACAGAATGGAATTCACCCTCTGGCTAATGGAATTATTTATTATGAGTTAATGAGTAATTGCTAGGGAGTGGCTATTACCTCAATTTTATCGCGTGCTATCGACTGGAGGCTAAAACCTTCAAATTTCCAGTGATTGAAACAATAACGCATGAATGTTACTCGATGCATTTACAGTCGAGTTAATGATGTTAAAATATCGTATATTTTGTATAATGTCAGCCGCACGATGCGGTGGCATTTGAAAAGTTGTGGATAAATGAAATGACAGGGGAACATGTCCCCATTGGAAAATCATCCGTGACGTCTGGTCGCTTGTGCATTGAAAACTGCTTTACAATTCTGGCACTGTTAATTTACGGTTTCTCTCTCATTTTAGCTATCTCGTATTTATGTCCCGAATATTTTGTCATATCTGACTCCACCACGACCCAACACGTGAACTTTTGCAACTGATAGCAACTTCAACTGGAGAACAATAATTAATTGTCCGAGTGAATCAACAGTATTTTCCAAAACTGTAATAGTGTTGGTGTTACTTTTCCAACGAGGATAATCCCATCAACAGAATGGGGTGTGAAAAATTTCTCCTCAGAACTTGGTACCTCTCTCGTTCGCTCAGCGAATGATAGAAAATTCATCAGAGAGAGTGATGTTACTCTTTAAGGGATTAAGCTCTCACTTTGCTCGTTTTACATCCATTCCGGGGAATATTCTCCCCTTTCTCCACCATTCGTCTCACCAAACTCACCTTTCCCACTTTTTTCCTCCCTTTTCCTTCCACGCCTTTGAGACTTGAGTGTGTCGCACTGAGGGATTGAAAAACTTTACGAAGAGGAGCCGGAAAAACTATTACCGAGTGTGCCCCAGCCTTTAGGCGATCTCCATCTAGCCTCTCTTCTAATCGCCATCGAGCTATCTCAATCCATCGATGTAAATATCCCGAGATACTTCAGTTCCTCGATCTTAACTGCCGCAAAAAGCAAAAAGCCATTTATGCCTCAATTTTATTGATTATCGTCTCATAGATCGCCTCAAACCACGAAGAAAATGGGAAAAAAATGGATCGATCAGCCCCAGGGGCCTGATCTATAATCTTTCGTGATTTCTCGCGATAGAAAGTGAACCGAAAATCAGGTGATGAATAAATTTGCGGAATAGAAAAATGGCACAAACGCCTTAGATTATGCGCACCCATTTGAATGACAAGTAAAAGCACATACCATCGTGTAGAGAAGATTCGTGAATAATTTCAACAGCTCTGTGAATTACCGCACATCCGTTTCTCAATAATTTGCTGCAACGATAAATATCAATAGATCGACGCATACAAAATGAGGAATAGTCGAAGAAATTGGTGCACAGAGGCTATAACCGTATTTCACGTAATATTTTATGGAATATTCGAGCACTAAGATCCATATTTGCATCGCATAAAGAAGAATTCTCTGCAAATTCGTGAAACAGTACGGTAGAAGGTTGGCGACAAGTCAATACAATTGGAAAATCGATAGCCTGAACCATTATTTCTACTTTTTCATTGAACGTTCATTGTCTAACGAGAGCTGTGTCAAGAGATTCGGATTACATTTTTATTCAACTGGTGTAAGTAGGCATGAAAATAATACATCTGTAATGTTGAGAATTTTCAAGCATCGTTGGGATAAATTTACCGCTCATTTTTATATACAGTCTCACTCCCCCATTGCCCCCCTCTCCCCCCTTCCCGCCCCTTTCCACCCCTTCTCCTTCCGAATCTCACAACTTTTTCTTTTTATCCTTCCTCACGTGAAACCTTGTGGGTACGCCTTTTCAATCTTATTTTCCACCAGAAGGCGCACAAATGTGGTGAGTACGCCATCTGCGAGGACGAGTAGTAGCTGTTTTTTTTTTTTCCCTTATTTTTTTCATTTTCGTACAATTTCCCTTCAACTCCGCCCTTTATTTTTTCACTTTCTGCGTGAAAATTAAAGTCAACTCTTATGTCGTGACGGTAATATATATAGATCGCGGTTGCGTTACTCCCACTGGATCTCAAAGGTGCTAAAGTTTTTACGTCCATATGAAACTCGAGGCCGACAAACGAGGTGAAAATATACCCCTCACACCTTGAAAGTTCCACGATATGGGGTTTCCGTTGGTGCATTGTTATTTCGTGAGAAACAAGAAAGTTTTGTGTGTTTTATCGCGAAAACCCTAGAGTAAACGCGTTACCCGTGAAGTCTGCCATCATTCTGGCATAACTACTGAAGCATGGCCTTTCAAAAAGTCATAGTTATAAATCATTGACTGGGCAAAGTTTAGCTGAGGTGCTAATTAGAAAAACTTGCCTCGAGGCTGTAGTTTTTTTATTTCTCACAACAAAATCTCTTTCTCAAACAATTCATAACGATTACTTGAGCTACTGATTTCCCGGCGAACGTTTGAGCTCGTCAATAAATCGTCTCGGTTGATACAGAAAATTTTGAAGAATAATTTATACCTTCCTGATCGTTGACAGTAAATGAGTGGAGAAAAAAACGGGACAGTGAGATTTTGTAGACCTCAGGATTTTTTAGAAAGTGGAGAATCTACAGGTAGCGTGAGAGAACAGATAGTCCGTTCAGGGTTTGAGAAAAAGCGAGTTGAAATACCCCGGAATATCTTGGCTTTATACCTGACTGTATCACCTCCATATTCTATCCTCTTTTTCTCTGTCTCCGGGGTTACATCTATTTCACCCCCATTTCTAGCGACTCTGCATTGTTGAAAATTTAATGCTAAAAGGTGAATATTTCGGTCAATTTTTTCCCTCCCCTGGCTTTCATCTGAGAGAAGAATTATAAAGAGAAGAACAGAGTAATGAGAGAGAGAAAAAAAAATACAATATTCTTTTGTATTTCGTTCCGAGAAGAATGTCACCCTGAGTTTAATTAAAGTTATAACCAGCGGAGAACGCAGAAGACATGCTTCATTTCCATCGATTAATTAATACAGCATTAGGTAAGGGAAAGATTCAAGAGATTAAAATGGTGATGTGGAATGGGGTAATATTAGTCAGGTCCAAGAACCTCGATAAAAATTCCACAGGAAGTTGGCTAATTCATGGTCACGACAACGAATGCCATTAACAAAGTTACCGTACAGCCACTGCACCACAAAGTCTCCACGGGGATCCATGTGCTGCATTCTCTCATTTTCTTTACTCTGTGTCATTCAAGCCATTCTATTAAGGTCCTTTGTTACCTTGTACACCTTAGAATTACAATTTTTCCATTTACCGGACAGAGTGCTCCCCTAGAGTGCATGCTTTTCCATTTTATAATGAAATTATAACAAATACCAGGAGTGGAGTTAATAAAATTTTATTCATTTGTCGATGACACCCAAAAGAAGCCATTTATATTAATTATTTATTTTTATTAATCATTTGTTTGTTTATCATTTATTTTTAGGGAATTGCGAGATTAACGTACATTCCACATTTATTTCTATCACGTAATTACAAATTTGAATGATATGATGAATTATGTCTTGTGGGCACACGTACAATGTAGATCTCTATTTTTCCATATTTTTTTTATTACGCAATATGTCGAAGCAATATTTGTCTGTCGTGTTCATTTATTCAGAGGCTCAGACCCCCCATTCGTCGATTTCTTGCGCAGAATCATGGAAAATAAACATGGCGAAGGGAAATGAGAATAAACGTGCCGAATGTTAAACATCAGCTTTTAAATTCTCTGAAAATTAAGAGAATTTTTCTACTGGTGGAATTAAACAAATGCGTATGTACTCGTTGCAGAGCTCACATGACAAATAACTTTTCAACGCGCTTTAATGGAAATAAAAAAAAAATAATCGCTGGTTGTAACAATTATCTCATGAAATGCTCGGCAGTGAATTAACGGTTCCCATCGGTATGCGTTATCCTAATTTAATTGGGGCTGAGCCACCAGCTAGTGGTTGCATTTTCACTATCTAAATAATTAGTACAACTATACCTTCAGGTATGCCACTAAAAATTCCACTGGCTCAACAAATTTATTCATCTGCCGGGAATAAAATGGTTTCATTTGAAATCTTTATCATGTT